ATCACACAGATTCATTTCTGACCACTCAGGTCATCCATCTGCCACATAGGCTGATCTGGTTACGATTCCCATCCCACAACAACTTTTCACAAAGCACAGGCAAACAAATCTACACAACGGAAACCACCTCACATCCGCCCATGACCGTGGGCACGGCTGTTCGAACAGTTAGTTAACCTCTGCAGAGGGGTACACTTTACCCACAAGATACGAACTTATTCCGAACACCCGTCGGTATCGGAGGTTCGCAACAAAGCCTTTCCCAAGCCGACCCAGGGTTACCTCATGCCACATAGAAGGATCAAATCCTCACATAAATATAGGCCATTTTAGTTTTCACAAATCAAACTCCAACCACCTCAATTGGAAATCTGGCAAGCTTCGCGTTCTTGCCTTACCAGGAACCCGGGTTGGCTCCAACCGACCCCGCCCCGGCGTTCCCCAACTATTGGCATGCGAGGTTTCCCTGAACCGACTAGTTACTTAGCTAGGGTGTCCCATTCCACCTTGTGGTTGCACTTTGTTATGCTTGATGAATTTCCCACAGGAATCGGTCCTTATATGTGAATACGGGACAGTGCCACGCAGGCACAACCCCCGCATCGCGAGTTTTCACAATTCATTTTATTTTTAAACACACCGACACCACAGGTCGGGTTTTCAAGGCTTCTCAAACCCATTTCCCAATTTTTCGACAATCAACAGTGTATGTGGGATATTTGGTATACGCGCTCAAAGAGCACGGATACCGAAGTACCACAAGGGTGGAGCGACAAGGAATCAGGGTAGTACAACCTATAGGAATTAGTGCGACTACTGGGTAGGTCCGTCGGTTTGGCACGCAAACTGAGGCCAAGCAAGTTAAGTGTGTGACTATAATAATGCAAGTTGCAAACAAAATAATAATGGTTTTCCAATTATAGGAGCAATTGGTCAAAGGGTGACTTGCCTTGCTTAAGGTCTTCACGGAGCTTCATGAATCTTCGAGAAAACCCGCGATCGGCGAAAATCCGGTAACCGCAACTATACGCAAACAAACAAAAACCTAAACAAAAGACCAAGAAAAAGACCCTATTTAGAGTAAATAATAGTGCCATTAAATAGATCTCAATTTTACGGAATTACTGGAAGTTGAACGGAGTCAATCGGAAGAGCGGTTGGGAAGATATGAATTTTGGAAGTTTAATTGGAATTTCTGGAAGACGAGAAATGGTTTATGGAATTTATAGAAATAATATTCTCAAGAATATTATTGACAGTCACTGACGTGCGGGACCAAAGGAAAATGATTCATGGAATTTTGGAATAAAGAATTTTATTTATGGAACAAAGGAAAAAGATTTATTAAATCCCTTGGAAAATTAAAGGGATGAGGGATGTGATTTGGACTTATCTCGGGTGGCATTGGTGCGGCCCAAAGGGTTGAAGGAGGCTCGGCCGAGCCATTGGGCCGGGCGCTGCCACGGGGAGGCGGCCCAACAGAGGGGGCGCGGGGGAGAGAGAGACGGCTCGGTGGACCGATTCCACCACGCGGGGTCCCAGGTGGGGCCCTCTTGTCGGTGATACGGCCCACGGTGGGATGGGCGCACGCAAGGGCAGCGCTAGGGTTCGGGGGGAAAGCGGTCCACGCGCGGCGCGCGGGTGGACGCGGTGTGCAGCGGGCCCACGCGCAGCCTGTCGGCTCTCCGTGGACCGCGCGCGAGGGTGGGGGACGGAGGGAGGCGGCTGACCGAGGTCAGCTTTGACCCGGTCGCGTCGAGGTGGCGCCGACGTGGCGCCTACGTGGCAGCCACGCGGGCCGGGCGAGAGGAGGAAGAAGAACAGGAGCTCCAACCAACGGTGGCCGACGGCGGGGTTTCACCGGAGCACGACGCGGCGATTTGATCGAGAGGGAGTTCACCGGTACAAAGGGGAGCACGAGAGGGGTTGAGCCAACGGCTCGGATCCTTCGAAGAGGGGCTGACGACGACGAATCGCGGCGGCGCACGCCGGCGGCGAGAAAAGGGGGAAATGGCGGAGGGGTGACAGGGATTCAATTCAAGGCGGTGGGAGCGTGTCCGGGGTTCAAGAAATCCGTTTCCGGCATCGGATGGGGCGGAGGAGCACCGAGGAGGGCTAGCGACGGCGGCGGCCTCCGGAAGCGGGCGGCAATGGCGGCGAGGCCATGCCGAGCGGCGGCGAAGCTCGGGGCAGTGTCTACGCGCGTTCGATGGGCTAGTAGAGCTACCACGCAAGCTAGAGAGGGCGAGGGAGAACGAGGAAGGAGAACGGAGGGAGTCACTACCGAGTCGGGACGGCACGGTGACGAGTGGCCGACGGCGCGGGAGTGAGTTCTCCGTTCTCAGGCCGGGGAAGGGGAAGAAGGGGGGTGCTCGGAGTCCCGCGTCACGCGTCCTCGCACGCACCGGCCTCCCCGGTGCTTGGCGACGAACGGCGACGGCGAGAGCAGAGCGAGCAACAATAATAGCGCGGCGGTGATGGAAGTGAAACGAGAGGAGGATTCGATGGGAGGGGCTCGGGTTTTATAGGTGGCCGGGTGAGGAGCTTCGAGGGGAAGGAACCGACTCGGGAGAGGCGGTCAAGGAGAGGAGCTGGCGGTCACGCCCGTGGTCCAGGCGGCGACAGGCGGTCACGGGCGGTGTCGGGCAAAATGGAAAAAGGAGGGGGAAAAGGGAACTCTGTTCTTGCCGAAACGGGGAATGGGAGAGGGAGAGGAGAGCGCGTGAGGCAGAGAGTCGCGCTGCCTCCACGTCTTGGACGCACGCGCGTACAGGGTGGGGGCGAGCGGCAGGGCGGCATGGGCGGCCAGGGCTGACGCGGCGGCGACCGGGCGGTCTGCCACGCGCGGGCGAGCGCGTGCGCGATGCGAGGGCGCGGCGGAATTCAGAGGCGGCGGCGGGAATCGGCGCCGGGAGGGGAGAGAGCAGAGAGAGAGAGCGAAGACGGGAGAGAGAAAGAACGAGAGAGCGAGAGAGCTCTCTCTCGGCTCGGCTCGGCGCGTGCAACGCACGTGCGAGGCTGAGAGAGGAGAAACGGCTGAGAGAGGGAGGTGGGCTAAGGGGGGAAAACGGCCCACAACACCCGAGGGAGGTAAAATAGACTTTTGCAGGGAAAGCTGATTTGGAGAGAATTGGAGTTTGTATTTGGATTCAAATTCGATATTCGAACTCGAGGGTTCAGGGAGGAATCAAGGAAGACTCAAGGTAGGGTTTGATATTTTTCGGAATTGGGAGCGAGTATTTGCCGAGGATTCAAAGGATGCGATTGAATTTCGGAATTTGATTTGGAGATTTGAGTTGAAGGAGGAATTTCGAGGTGGAGGATTTTGATTTCGATGAGAGGGAACAACGGGATTGAATTGAGATCCTGGCACGACTTAGACTCTCACACAAAGAACGAAAATTTTCGCAATTAGGATTTTGCCGAATTAGTTTTTAACGTCTCACGAAAAGCTGAGCGTTACACACCGCCACCGCCACCGCCACGGCCACGGCCACGGCCACGGCCACCGACGATGAGAAGCCGCAAGGCGCGGCTGTGCGAGCGGTGGATGCAGGATGGGGAATGCCCAAATGGGAACGGCTGTCATGACCCCCACGGCTTGGAGGATCAGATAAGGGTGGCAGTGAAGAAGACGACCGACCGCGGACATCGGTGCACGGACTACTTGTTGGGACAGTGCAGGAATGGAGTCAACTGCACTAGACTCCATGATGTTGGTCCTTGATCGATCATAGGAATGGAGGATCAGGATCGGAGGAAACGCCCAGTTTCGGAGTCTCGATGATGATGATCTTACTGAATGTCTGAATCAGATGTTTTGTTTCTGTTTGTGGGTGGTCAGATCGATGAACCACTGCGTGTTTTCTGTTGTTCTCAGGTCGATCCGTCTTGAACCCATTTGGTTTGATTCGACTAGTAGTGTCCGTCCTGAGAAAAACTTGATGCATTGATCATATTGTTGATTTGTGTGCTTGAATTCTGGTTTTTGGATTCCGTTATTTCCATCAAGTATTGTTGCTTGCTTTCCTGGTTGTGTTCGGACTCAGATCAGGTGAGTGATATATTTCAATATTTGTGTTCATACTCAGATCAGATGAACAGTGTGTGACTGGTGAAAGAGTTGGTTGTAGTAACAGCTTACTCGGCTAATAATTGATATGCAGTTTGACATTCCAATATATGCACATGGATCTTACTCAGCTAGAAAGGTTCATAAACTGTTCTGAGAATCGTCATCACATATATGAAACTACTAGTGCAGGAACAAGAGAAACCTTGATGGAACATTAGTTGGAACTGAACTTGTGAATTACGGAGTATATCTCAGATATTTTCAGTTAGATTTATAAGTTTGTACATTTTCTGCATGCAGCCACACCATGCAGGGTACAATTAAACCTATCTCCACAAAGCAGTACTCAGACTGAACCTTTTGTTTAAAAAAAAGTAGTGCAACTAAATTTTTGTTTTATAAAAATCGTAAAATCTAAACCGAGAAACCTCTCGGTTTAGACTTAACCAGCTACGGGCATGCACTATTCAGTGTATTAGTAGCAACCAAAGTGAGGTCGCTGGATATGCCTAACCAGCGACGATCTCGTTACAGTCACGTCCCTTTCTAAAACTTAAATGCCATGGAAAAAATTTCTTTGCACTCCCTGGAAAAATTTACAAATGAATGGACATTTCGATCTCCTACAAAATTACTATGGAAATACGGAATGGCCCATGTGGCTTCTCTGGGAGCCCATTCGTGTTCCTCAAGTAAAAAAGACCACATCTGTGATAAACTTACTTTGGGCCGAAAGCAAATATCTTTTGGCCCACTAAACCTTGCTTCACCTTCTTCCTTCGCCCAGAGCAAAGCAAGCGCGACTCGAAGCTTCTCAACCCCGAGCTCGCCAGCAACTTGCACCGTGGACGCTGTCGTACAGCGCAAGCTACCCCTCGCCTATATAAGACAGCCTCTTTCTCTCTCTCTGACGGTCTGACCCCACCACGCGTCCACGCCCCCATTTGAAATCACACGCCTCGCCTCGCCTCGCCCTCCATCGAGATGGCCGATCCCAACGGCCGCCGCCGCCTCCCCACCGGTGATCCAGATCAAGCCAACGCCTCCCCGTCCCGGCGAGTCTCCGCCGTCGATGGCGTCACCGGCGGCGAGGGCAGGCCCACCTACTCCCACTTCCCCCCCGGCGCGTACGAGCCGACGGACGTGGCCTACGGCATCCGCGACGCGGCCAACGACGAGCGGGCGCGGGCGCGGGCTCGGGCTCGCCATGACCAGGGTGGCGGGGCTCATGACCACCACCACGACCGGCCCCGGCAAGACCAGCGCGGCGAGGCTCACCTCCACGACCTCCCCGGCGAGAAGAGCGAGGTCCCCGACGTCGGTCCATCTGACCAACAGGGGAAGGAAGCCTCCGACACCGACATGGCTCCATTGGCGGCGCTGGCAAAGAGATCCTACGACGTCAACTTCCCGCCGCTGCACGAGCACCGCGCCGCCCCCTTCCCCGCCCCGGCACCCGCATTCGCACCCGCACCGGCGGGCACCATGGGATCCTCTTCCGCACAGGTGCAGGGTGACGGGGCTCCTGACAATCACGACCACGACCCACGTCACCTACCCCGGCAAGACCAGAGCGGCGGAGCTCACCCCGACGACCTCCACGGCGAGAAGACCATCGGTTCAGGCTCCGATATCCTCGACGACTCCAAGAGAGGAATGATCAACGCCGGTCCCCAACACGGCCGCATCACCACCTCCAATGGCGGCAGCGGCAGCGGCAGCGACAAGGGCAAGGGGGTCTCCTACGCCGGGGACAAGCCCGCATCTAGCTCGTCGTCCTCCAGCTCTGCTGGCCAGCAGGGGAGCGACACCGACAAAACTCCTTCGGCGGCGGCGGCGAGCTCCTACGCCGTCAACTTCCCGCCGCTGCTGCCCGCACCCGCTCCCGTCCCCGCCCCCGCACCCGCACCCGCGGTCGCCGGCGCCATGGGTGTTGCCAATGCCCACCACAAGATTGCGCTGTGCAGCAAGTGGAGGAAGGGGAGGTGCCACAACGGGGCAGCGTGTCGCTACTCTCATGGCGAGGAGGAGCAACGAATTGTGCCGGAGATGAGAGTCGGCGGCGGGGGACGTCCGTGCCCGGAGCTCGCCGCCGCCAAGGGATGGTGCAGGTACGGGCTCAACTGCAAGTATTGCCATGGCGGCGTATAGGATCGAGGAGCAGCGCCATGGGAGGGGGGAGTCCTTCATCTTACAACGCTCGCGGAGGAAACACGTCAGGTTAGAGTCTGGATCATATGACTGAATCCATCCGAATCATCTGGTCAGCTGTTTTGCTTCTGTTGTGGTCAGATGAACCACTGCGTTTTTTGTTGCTAGATCGAGTCTACTCTAGTCATGCGTTTGATTTGATTCGACTCGTGAATCCATCCGAATCTGAATTCGACCAAGGACCAGTACACTTTTTGTTTCTTTTTTGGTCAGATGAACCACTGCGAGTTTTCGTTGTCAGGGTCTAGGGGAAAAAGATTACTAGAACCCATGAATTTGATTTTGAGTCCTAATAAACTTGATGCAGTGATGATATTGTTTACTGTTCTGTTATCTGCTCTTCATCTGGGGGAAGATTGCTTATGAAAATTGCTTTCTGGCAGCTGCTTGGGATTTGGGACCAGTACTGTTTGTTTCTGTTCTGGTCAGATGAACCACTGCGAGTTTTCGTTGTCAGGGACTAGAACTCCTGAATTTGATTTTTGAGTCCTAGTAAACTTGATGCATTGATGATATTGTTGAGCTCTCGATCCGGGGGGGATATTGCTTACTAACATTGCTTGTTTGCTGGGATTTGGGAATGTGGTGTACTAATATGGCTCTGCTTCCTCTGGAATCCATTTGAGAATGTTGATGCATTGATATATTTATTTTTTTTTAATCTGCAGTTGGTATAGTTATTGGTTGTTCTGATTTCTGGATTCAATCTAGAGTAGAATGTTGCTTACTTGGGAACATTCTTTCTTGTTTCTGGTCAGATCAGACACTGCTTATCAGGGGGTCTAGGAGAAGAAGACTTATTAGAACACATATGATTGATTCTTAAAATTTTGATGTTATTCTCAATTGTGGTCATGAATTCTGAATCCAATGGTTAACAAAATTTTGATCCTATTGGAATGATAACTTCTGATGGTGATGAGACCCTGGTCTCAATGTGCTGTCACTCTCACCTGAATCTGTGCTTCTCCACTTGAGCTGAATCTGTGTTTGTTCTGATATCTGGATTTGATTTGGGGGAAGATTGATCACTATTACAAAGTTGCTTGATATGCTGGCACAGGAGGCCTTGATGTTAGCACGCGCAGGAGACATGTTCACGTCAGGATAGAGTCTGAATTCATCTTAATCTGAACGAACCACTGTTTGTTTCAGGTCAGATCAGATCAGCCACTGTTTGTTAGGTGGTATAGGGAGAAGAAGTCTGTAATTAGAAAGCATTTGATCAGAGTCCTAAAAAACCTTGATGCTGTTTCTGAATTGCGGTGTGAATCCTGAAAATGCAACGGTTAAAATCGTGATCTTATTGGAATGATCAGGCTGACGAGACCCTGATCTCAATGTGTTCTCACTGTTCATCGGCGGCCTCACTGTTCTAATAAAATCGTCACCTTATTAGAACCCCACAGTAGAGCTAAGCTACGAAATACAAATCACTGTATAACTGAATCATGTAAAGCGATTATTGATGACAAGATTCTCAAAGTACATGCAGACAGAATATAGGAGTACTTCCTTTCATACATTCACTTTCTAGCTATGATCAAGCTTGCCTAAGATCGAGCGCTACTTTCTACTAAAGAGAGGAAAATATCTCCAAATATATGTTCAACCAACAGCAGCTCTGGAGGTTGAGTATGTTGGATAAGTATAGATTATTCAGCATTAGACACATCTCCAATAAAGCATCCAACAGGGAACCACTCATCAGCAACGGCAACACAGTAAGGATAATGAACAAATTATTCTTGGTAGATGAGACAAGCATCGGTATGGACCAAGCCGTCGCAGTTGCCACCGGGTGTCACGGCTCGTTGACAGTATCCGCAAAACCTTGCAGAGGTGGTCTCGCTTGCAAGACGAGTAGAAGAAATGTTTCCATGGACAGCCTTATTAGCTTCGTCACTTTTGTCAACTACAAAGCTGAAGAAAAAAACTCGACCATCCTGTGAGATATAGTCGATGACAATATCGAAGATCAACATTTTATCCTTGAGGACACCAAATCTTCTGAGGTTTTTTATATACTCGCTTTCTTCACAGTTGTCAGGCAATGGACCAACGGTTGCAATGTGCCTGTCTCCAATCCGGTAGAAGGATTTACCAATCCAACAAACTCGCTGGCAAAGGTACTTGGACATTTCATTAGCAATCCTCCTGATGACTTTGTTGGTTGTGCTACTCTAATGTATACCTGTATAATACAGAAAAAAAGGTTTTCCGATTAATTAATTAAGGTTAAACTGTTAATTAGGCAATACTGTAGTAACTAGGTAGGCTAGGTACTTCCTCTGTTTCATATTATAAGTCGTTTGACTTTTTTTTCTAGTAAAATTTCTTTAAGTTTGATCAAGTTTATAGAAAAATATCAAAAATATATTCTATTTTTAACACAAAACAAACATATTATCAAAATATATTCAATGTTAGTTTTAAAAAACTAATTTGATATTTTAGATTTTGCTAGTTTTTTTCATAAACTTAATCAAACTTAACAAAATTTAATTAGGAAAAAAAGTCAAACGCTTGTATTAAGAAACGGAACGAGTACGTACCTTGCGGCCGTTGATGAAGTGGTCCTTGTCGGCGAGAGCGCGGGCGGCGTGGGCGGGTTGGATGAACTGGACGAAGGCGAAGGGGCGGTCATGGCGCAGCCAGATGTCGGCCACATCCCCATAGACCTTGAAGTGGCGGCGGAGCTCCGCTTTGCCGGTGCCCGGAGCGACGCGGCCCACGAACAGCCTCGCGCTGATCTCCGGTGATGTCCTCATCGCCGATCGATCGATGCGCCGGTGATCTGCTTAGTATATATTGGTGTTTTGCTTCTGTCTCTTAATTAATTTCCATATGCCTAACCTTGCCTCCATATATATAACTACAGAGAGAGATGATGCGAGTCGCCTTCCGATTCTGTAATGGTGTCGTAATACGTCGTCGGTGGTGTGGCTGATCGAGCGTGTGCCGGACTGGCAGCTCACGCAGACGTACGTTCGTGAGTTCGTCGACGACCGGGACTCCAAGATCTTGTTGGCTTCCCCTCCCTATGATCGATCTCAGACATGAATCCACAGTGCAGATGCCGTTCACGCAGTTTGTTGGGCCTTGATCATCAAGCAAATAATCGCCAGAACACGGATCGAGCAGGTGGTGTGCACTGTGCAGTGCAGCATGTACATTTTGGTTGAGCACTCTGTAACTGAAGATCATATGCAGAGCGTTTGTTGATGACAAAGATTCTCAAAGTACGTGCAGACATGATATACTTTCTTTCATACAGTACAGAAACAGAATTACACTATGAAAGGTACGTTGCAATCATGCAATGTACAGATACATCCAGTTTCTATCTACTAGGATCAAGCTAGGTACGTTGTGGCCGTTGATGAAGTGGTTCTTGTGGGTGGGCTTGCTTTGAACTGAAGGTGGGCCCGGACCAACGCTTCGTTTGTACATCGCAATTTCGGCCCGCTGGGCCGGCTACCTCATCGCCCACCGTCGGATCGTTCGATCACCGCCTGTGAATGAAGTACTAATAAACCCTAAGCAGCCGCCGCCTAGCCGCCGCCGTCTTGGTAAGGCTCGCCTCTCCGCGGATGCTCGCAAGAGAAAGTAATGCCGATCTCCCACTCTTTTTCTTCCCGTGTTTCCATTCGGTTCGAGGCTTCGAGCAGATGTGCTGTTGTCTTGTTGATCAGGTGTCTTCGATGAGCGCGTGCTTAGATCGTTTTTTATTTTATTTTGGATGAGTTCATGTGTCATGTTAATAAAATATAATTCGAGCTCAACACAAATTAGAATTGAATCAGTTATCATTAGAAATAATCTATAATTTATCGATGTGTCATGTCAATGAAGAAAATCTTAGACTCATAGTTGGACTGATGTACATAGGTTGATAGGAACTTGATTAGCAAGGGTTAGTATGTGTTATGTATGCCCTTGATAAATCTTATCAGATTGCACAACTTGAATAAATGCTTGTCCCAAGTGAATAATGTATGTTCTGAGAAACTTTCCCACACTAAGTTAGTGGCAAAAATTGTAAATATAGCTATTACTATACTTTGAGTTTCTTCAGTGGACAATCATACAATACAAGTATGGATACATTTCAAAATTATATCTTTCGAAGCGTTTTCTGTTTTTTCCCCTGGAGTTTGATATCGGATGGCAGTGATTTGACATTACCCGCGCTTCTGATATAATCCGTGAAGCAAAGGGAAAATAATGGTTGAATTCCTTAATATGAGCCATTCATTCAGCTATCATATTTCCTCTAAAGTATTAGTGTTTTTGTCTGGTTGATTTACTTCGACTGCTAGATTTGGTGGTTGGCAGTGATGATACAAACTTTCAGCTTACAATGCCAGTTCTGCTTCTGAGAATACATGACAGATAAAGCTGATATATATCTGAGCCTTTTTTTTCCATTATGTGTTTGTAGTCATAGCATCCAAATATCTAATCTGCCCATGATGAGCTGCCCAATGATTAGAGGGTGTAGTTGGCTCAAGTTCCTGTTTATCAGGAAGAACCTACTTGCAGCTGCTGCATTCACATGTTATCAACGGGTTTCTGAGGTTATAGACACTCCTTATTTTGCTCGTCCATCAAATTTTGGTGTTGTACTTTCAGGGATTCTTTTCTCCATTGAGAAGTTGCATAATTTTTGCCGAGTTTAACTATCCTTCCGCAAGTTAAGTTTCTGTTTTGTGTGTAGGCTGAAAAAGCTCGGAGATTGTGTGTTGACATCAGCTTCGTCTCTTTATGTCTGTGAGATGGGAGTTAAATGACAGCACGAAATTCCATTCTCTTTGGGTGCACTGGTGCAGTCCTCCCCACCTACAAGGATCAGCCACCATCACTGCCGCTGCTGCACCATTGCAGCTTTCCTTTCTGGTCTGTGTTTTCGTGTTGCCTTCTACATGTTCAATTTGATTTCTTTTCATGGATCAATGGTATATGATTTTTTTTCCTGTGTGTTTTGAATCGTCCTCTCTTGCTCCTTAAGGTTGGGGCACCAATATCTCCATGGTGTCACCATCTTTGCAAGAAGGGGATAGATCGACGCGTCAAGAAATCGTTTCTGTTGCCATGGCTCCAGTAGGCAATACGATTGTTGCTTGCGTACAATTTTTTCTTGACGCAGACTAGTTTCTTTTCTTGTGCTCTGCTGTAAAAATTCTGTTTATATCTGTTCTGTTCATGCACGGTGCTAACCCCGGGCTTGTCGGATTGGAATCCTCTGAAGAATGAAGCCCCAATGCCTGTGCTAGATCCACCATGCCATTCAGTGTTGCAGGTCATGATGCTTCGAGCTCGTGATTGGTCTGTGTCAGCGTAATGGATACATTTCAAAACTATATCTTTCTTAGTGTTTTCTATTTTTTTCCCTTGGAGTTTGATGGCTGATGGCAGTGATTTGACATTACCCGCACTTCTGATCTAATCCGTGAAGCAAAGGGAAAAATAATGGTTGAATTTCTTAATATGAGCCGTTCATTCAGCTATCATATTTCCTCTAAAGTATTTCTGTTTGTGTTCATTAGATTTACTTTGTTAGATTTGGTGGTTTGGCAATGATGATACAAACTTTCAGCTTACCATGCCAGTTCTGCTTCTGAGAATTCATGACAGATAAAGCTGATATAGATCTGAGCTGAATGTTTTTCTTTTTCTATTATGAGTTTGTAATGTAGCATCCAAATATGAAATATCTAATGTGCCCATGATGAGCTGCCCAATGATTAGAGGGTGTAGTTGGCTCAAGTTCCTGTTCATCAGGAAGAACCTACTTGCAGCTGCTGCATTCACATGTTATCAACGGGCTTCCTGAGGTCATAGATACACTTCTTGTTCTGCTCGTCCATCAAATTCCGTATTGTAGTATCAGGGATTCTTTTCTAGTTGATACACATTGATTTGCTAGTTTTTTTTTAAATGGAAAATTCTGATTGAGCATTGAATTAATTTTCATTGAGCATTATCGTGCTGCTTGCTCTTCTGCAGGAATCTCCATGATACAAAACAAAACCAACCCTAGATGTGTTCTATTGCTGACACAGGGAGTTGTAAGTACATGTTAAATGGTGGCATACTATACAGCTGTACAATAGACGCAAGAAACAATAACCACTTACATGCCATCCTCCACCCTGAAATAGAAAACCATTTTTAGCATGTTGGTGCTTCATTTTGTATTCCATTGGGATATAAAAATGGTAGAGAACAACCATTTTTAACCCAATTTTGTATTCCTTTGCGGATATAAATATGGTATAGATTGTAACTTGATATCTGGACTCATTTCGGGTTTGGTGTTCGCTATTTGTTCCACATGGTACCTGGACGTGAGTGGTTCATCTGATTCAATGCCATTTTCATTGATTTGAAATCGCACTTTTCTCACAATTGCGCTGATTAACTTATGAATCAACAGATACTTCGGCACCAGGATCTTCGAAAAACTTTTCCAGTAAATCAGATTCTACGCGCAATTTTCGAGAGTTTGTCATTCCTAAAAATGTATCTGGTGACCACAAGAGCTTATGCAGAAATATGCCGTTGCAGCTTCATAGAAACGAAGCAGGCTAAGAATTCTGTTAGCTTGTTGGATTTTTATTGTAAACTGAATCCATCAACAATCTTATGACATGGATCTTCCAAAAACCTCCCATAATACTCCAGAATCGGACGAATGACCATAAGCACTAATATTACAAGTTCCATCTGTGAGTAAGCAATTGGAGCTCTAGAATCTAGATAATGAACATTCCTGAGAATAAATCCACCCTAAGTTTTCAGCCAGAAGGTAAATTCTCTTCACCTAATTTAAGAGATTTTGTAAGTATCCGCGTTTATTTAGAACCTGAATCAAACCGTAGAACGGCTGAACGTAATGCCTTGCTTTTATAGGAATAATTAATTATTTGCCACTTTTACGAGTGGTGTTAAATGATTTGCCACTGAACCCACATGTCATAGACACATGAGGACTCACATGTCATAGACAGCGAGTGGCAAATAATTAATTGTCACTTTTTAAAAGTGGCCACACAAGTTAAATGTCCCGCTTTTCTAAGTATCTTTTAATAAATACAGTAATAATAATAGAGCTTTATATAAGTTTGGGCCCCATACTAGTATGGGCCGCAATGGGATTGCTATGCACATATAGCCCATGTCGCTTGCGGCACGTTTTGCTTCGTCCAGTTGAGCTAGTTTCTGAATATTATTGCTGCTTCTGTCGCCGCTGCAAACTGTAATTGTTGCCATTGAATTCTTTCTTTTTGGTGAGGAATATTGCCATCGAATTACAGCCTCCGTCGTAGAAAATTTAACCTCTGTTTATGAATCTGAACTTAGACTATGCACAATTTTCTGGTCTAAGATATCGCGTGTTCCAATTAATTAAAAATAAAAGGCATGCAGTGAACTGATGATCCACGTCAGAGAATTAATTTGTCCTGAATAATTACACATCAGTGTGGCTGCTGCACTCAAAACAATACAAAGACCAGGTGCAACAGAAAGAGACGTGCACAAAAATCAATTGGTCTCTTGCAATGTTCAGCTATGCTTGCTTGAGGTAAGCAAGGTTGGCTGGCTCTAGCAAAGCTTTCCTGTCCTCTCACCTACCATGAAAGTGACAAAGGAATGTGCTCTTCGCTCTGTTCAATACTTTTTTTTTCTTTAGAACAGCTCTGTTCAATACTCCCTCCACCCCATTTTAAATACAGTTGCGGATTTCCGTATCCAATATTTAATCGTCTATGTTTGTTTAATTTTTTTATTATTAGTATTTTTATTGTTATTAGATGATAAAACATAAATAGTATTTTATATGTGATTTATTTTTTTAATTTTTTTATATTTTTTAAGCAAGACGAACGGTCAAACGTTGGATACGGGAATTTATAACTGCACTTAAAATAGAACGGAGAGAATACTTCTATGTTTTTTTTTCACTCCAAAAGCTTTAGACAAATCGCCAAAATATAGCTGGGGGTGATGCATATATGCATTCGTGATATCATTTATTATTATTTTTTTGTTGCCGGTCGGTGGATTAGACCGATCAAATTTCAGTAAGATAATATATATATGGGGAGAGTGCATAAAAAAGTATCATTCAATTCGTCCAATTTTTTGTTTTAACACTGTTATCTGACGGCACTAGTTTGTATGAGAATCAGAACAGTCTTTGAGTAGTTCCATGTTGGCTCAAAAGTCAGAACGTACGTGTACTTATCTGGTTCGTATTTATACGCCAAACAGTACAAGGCTGCTAGTCTGGGTCAAATTGTCAGGTGGCTGCAAGTATTTCTTTTATAGTTCCTTACTTATTTTTTTTCTTTCTTTCTAAGAAGAAGAAGGTCAGACGGCTGCTATAGTAAAACAACAATACAAGAGTACGATGTTATGAGCTACGACAAAATACAGATAAAAAAAGAGACTTATTCTTCAGCTTATGAATTATATACATGATCTTGGTAAGGCTGTGCTCAGTGTACTCCAGTTTTCCATCCTCTGCTTTCTCCTTTTTTAACACACTTCCTGAACCCTTTTTTTAAAACAAAATTCTACAGAAAGGTTGTTTCAAGAAATCTTATTAATTACTTTTAAGATTTTATGGCTAATACTTAATCAATCATGTTAATGTTTTATGGCTAATACTTAGTCAATCACGTGCTAATGAGCCAACCTATTTTTCGTGCCAGAGAGAAAACTTGTATTCCCTCCATCCAAAAGAGTTAGACACATTACTTTTGACACTAAGACCGAGAAAAAAATTAACTCATTTGTAACAAAGATCTATACATGCATAAAATCAATGAGTACTACGTACGATACTCCTTGGATCGATCAAATATTTAATTTATCTCTTCATTTAAGTCTTGGATATATAAAACTACATATATGATCAATTTAATTGAGAACCATAATATTAAATAAGTCAAACATTTTTTGGATGGAGGGGGTATTGTCTAACACACCCTAATAATAATACTTCCTAACCCAGTCAACTTTGTGACCCTACCTACAACTAGCTCCTATCACCGTAGCTCTAGCTAGCAGGGGCTCATCCAGTATGGGTGTTGGGAAACTCAAGTCCCATCTACCTCATTGGATCACTATTGAGAGAAAAGGAGAGAGGAGGACGCAGGAAGAAGAGAGAGAAGAAAGTGTAGGGGAGGGAAGGGGGAGGGGGCTGGAGAAGGAAGAAGGAAATAAGCCCCTCTCTATTCTTTTTCTAGATCCGCCCCTGCTAGCTAGTGGTGTCAGCACCCCTTGCGTCGCGCTCCTTTCTTCACTATACCAATATCTATATCTCTTCTAACTATCCTTGTGTTTCTATTGTCCCTACTCCTTTTTCCCGCCTAGAGTACCCGCCAGTTTGCCATTTCTCGCCCGCTCCATTACCAAATTTTACCTACATTTGCGCTAATGAAGTGGTCACATTCACAGAGGGAGAAGTAGCATGGGCTGTTGGATTTTTATCCAACTACCTGGATCATGCTAATGCTTGCAAATTCATGATGCCAATTAATATGATCAAGCTAGACGTTGTCGGACGTTTGATTATTCTCCCAAAAGCGGGCGTTATTTCATCAGTTTGAGAAAATTGTTTTAGTACTTGGTCCAATATTTCTAAGAGATGCAAAGTCCAAGAAAGATTGGTTGTGACACCAACAACCCGCTATATAAAACATTGAGTCTCAATGACTGCAATATCAAAAAAAGAAATTATAAAATCAAACTTAAAATGTGCAACGTAGTTGGAATTCTAGTTGAAACATTCTCTTCTTATGTATGAAACATCAAATTTTACGACTAAAACATGTGTATATTTTTTCATCGTAATATAATAAAATGATCTTGTTGTAAACATTTAATTGTAACAAATTCAACAGTGTAACCGGATCGACAATTGGATAAGTAATTTAGAAGAAAAAATTTTTAATATTAGTTGATAGTCTTCGTGCATGCATGTATTCATAGTTTGAGTACAGAGCATGGCACATAGAGAAAAGAAAGAGAGGTGAATTTGAGGGTGCCCAACCATTTGGGTTGTATCTGGCGTACGTCCGAGGCTAGGCATTTTTGTTAAATTAATATGTACTTACAATTATAACACTCAATCACTCATAATCCCCTATAAGATACACATTGACAATTATTACTGCCTACAAGAAAAATAACAAAAAAAAATCAACAAAGGGCCTCTCGGCCATCAACATCTATCCTAATTTCACCTTCTTCACTCTTCAGAACTTCCCTCATGTGGGCCCTACATGCCAGTCTCCTGATTTGTCGACAGATTTTTTTTTGGGTGCTCATTAATTGTCTCTGCTGCAAAGCTTAATTCTCTGTAACAAATTAAAAACTGAGCTACAAACTGTAAAAAAAAAATCAACCTAATTAAGCATATATATGATCATAGAACAAGCTCGGATCGGCGAGCTCCATCACCATCCTGTAAATGTCATCGTTGCATCCATCCTTGTAGTAGAAATCGCTCGGCGCCGGCGAGCTGAGAACGCTCTGATCATGGCCGAATCCGGCCATCGCCGTCGCCGGCGAAGGCTCCGGCGGTGGCGCCGCCGCCGCATGCTGATGAAACACTGTGGTATTATCATTGCTGCTACTGTTCCATTGCTCCTGGAAGTAGCGCTGGTTGCTGTAGCCACCGTTCACGTTGCTCGCCGGCGGCGGCTGGAGGGTGTTCATGTACTCGACGACGTCGTCGCCGGCGCTGTCGGACTCGAGGCTGCCGGTGATCGAGCTCGTCGCGTCCGGCACCGGCGCCGGCACCGCGGCGGCGGCGACGGCGAGCTGCGGCTGCGGCTGCTTCTTGTGGGTGATGTTCCTCTGGAAGATTCGGCAGATGGTCCAAACTTCCTGCATTTTTTTCACGCACACAACAAAAGTTCAGTTCGTCGTCGTGCTAACATTTCGGCACGTTCGAGGACACGTGTCAGTGCGTCACGCCACTGTTTCCACGCACGTGTGAATGGAACCAAGCCGGGTTCGCGGGAAAGTGCATGCAATGGCCGATCGACGGCGACGTCGCCGGAGATGAAGAAGATGCATGTAATTAACAGGTTTTAAATATCCCGCTATAGCTATTTGAGAAGGGTTTTAACTAATTATTTACTCTCATATATAATTTAGTCGCTATAGTTCTACTTAACCCGCCGCTATATCTATCTAAGAAGCTACTCCCTCCGTCCAATAATATAAGGGATTTTATGTTGATGCGACACATTCTAGTATCTGTCCAGATTTATTGTATTAGGATGTGTCACATCTACTCAAAATCCCTTATATTATGGAACAAAGAGAGTAACCGCTAGTAATGTCTTAGCACGCTATTTAAAATATTGGTAATTAACTTACCGCTTCTTGGAGGCTCGGAGGAGGGGAGGAGCGGCCGGCGGCGAGGTCGTCGGCGGGCGGCGGAGGGAGGCGGAACTCGTGCATCATCCAGTCGGTCTTGGTGCCCTTGCCGGCGCTGCCGCGGTAGTAGACGAGCGACTTCTTGAGGCCGATGCAGTCGCCGCCGCCGCCGCCGGCGGCAGAGCAGATTGGGCGGTCGATTCCGGTGGCCTTCCAGAAGCCGGAGCCGGTGACCCGGTTGGGTCGGATGCTGTTCCTGTACTTCCTCCCTCGAAGGCAGAAGAAGTACCATTCCTTCTCGCTGCCCACCGTGCTCGTCTCTGCATGCATCAACATGGTTAATTAATTAATTTGATTAATCCCCACAAGATTTAGCTTTTCATGATCGAATGATCGATCTAGCTTATAGTTTGAAACAAAAAAAAATCACGTAAATATAGATATTATTCATGTTGTTAATTATATGTGTTAATTCTTGAATTTACTCAAGGCCTGGTCACTAAATCTGTCATGTTATTCTATTGCATGCAAATGAAACTACCCAATCTTAGCTGATAGGAACATCATGCTCCAAGCGCATGAGCTTGTAGATCACCATGAACTATAAGCATATATATATGCATGCATGCTGTGATTTTTTTTCTTTAATAAGTATTTGGTGATCATGAACTTTTAATTAGTTGAATGAACTTACTGAGGAAGTCGGAGGGATCATGCTTGTAGATGTCCATCTCCTTGATGATCTCGATGCTCAGCCGCTTCTCGGCGATCTTCCGGCGAAGGTAGAACGTCACTAGCTCCTCGTCGGTAGGATGGAACCGGAATCCGGGGAGAACCAGGTCATCATCATCTTCCTCTTCTACCTCCTCCACCCCTCGTAGAATCACATCACCAGCTCCAAGTTCATCTTCACAACCCCTCTTCATCTCTGCAGATGGCACCATTAATTTTATCTTTGATGATCAGTGTTCGCCGGCCGTTCGATCGAATCGTCGATTCGATCGATCGCCTCCTCTTCTCAAACAATCTAGGAGCTAGAGAACGAAAATTGTTCTTGTGTTGTTCTTGGAATTAATATCCCTGTAAAGATATAGGGGAGATCGATGAAGTTGTTGAGAGGAGATGGCCATGGAGCCATGTATATTTATATGGCTCTGATGGATGTGTATAGTGAGCTAAACTAAGCTGTCTGTTGGTTTGTGAAAGCTGCAAGAGGATGGAGTCATGAAGTTTCATGGTTGCTTGGTCCAAGTCACTTGCTTTGACTTCTCTTCTCTCTAGCAACCATGTCCATATCGAAATATATCAGCATTGGATGCATGTGTGTGTATATCCTAATTTTTTTTTGACAATTCTTTTCATTTGAAATAAATGCATATCTCGTCATTTATATAGATTATTTGCCCGTGGTACGGCCAATTGAATGGCAAAAATTAATATATGCAATGACGTAGATTAACAGTGCCTGGTAGTACGGTGCGTGTTTGGTAAAAGTTGTTGAGTAGAGTTTTAATTTAATTTATTCATGTCTGTTGGCTTTATTAACTACAGTATGTTGTTGTTACGGTTGAAATTTAGACATGACAAGACATGCTCCCAGGCCCGTTCAGCCACGTCCCGGGAGAGACGTGCCGCCAAAGTTTACTGAGTCATCTTGCAGAAGATTAATTAATAATATCACTACATGGTTTAATGTGACTGCCGGCTTCTTAATGGTGATTATATTGATCAGTATATCTTTCTTAAATTCTTACTCCCTCCGTCGTAAAATATAATTTCTCTATCAACATTCTTTTCCCAACTAATCATAATCCTCCACCATTCACCTTTTCCACTTACCTTCACTGCTCATCCAATCACAACATTCCACCATTCACTTCTATCTACTTTCTTAATAACTGTGTTCAACTTTAAAGCTTCTTATATTATAGTACAGAGGGAGTAATTATTTAGGATAGAAGCTGATGAACACATTCGATCGATCTTGGCCGTGGGATAGAACAACGACGATCGATATTGCTTAGACAGATAAATACGGAAAATATATAGTGCAAACCACATATGTAGTGGAAACTTGGAAACTACCGTTGGATCGAGAAATGAACGTCCAAGATTCGTCCACGTCACCATGAGTTAAAATTTAACTCGCGGATTCACTCATGAATTAAAATTTTATTGGGAGTTAAATTTTAACGCATGGTGACGTGGACGAATCTTGAACGTCCATTTCTCGATCCAACGGTAGTTTCTAAGTTTCCACTACATATGTGGTTTGCACTACATATTTTCCCAGATAAATAAGGGCCATATATGGTAGAGAGCTAGGTTTGCAACTAGGTATTGCTCTTTTTGATAATTCGTGGAGATGAAAGCTGATGGATGATCTGTTTAATTATAGTGGTAAATTAAATATTTTATATAATAAATTAAACAAAGAGCTTATATACAAAGTAGTATAATCAATGCGTTAGAAGATTAATTTTATATTATTAGAAAACATATTTTTAAGAATCATCAAGCAAATAATCCGCGACAGGATCGAAAGTACTCGATCTGCATAATTGGATCAACTCTTCTTTTTTAATAACAGATAGAATCGATCAAGCCTCAATGAAAATTTTCATAGGTGGATATATTCACCGCCAGTCTAGCTAGATCACGCTATATTATTTACAGTGGTTGATATGCATAAATAATAATGAATTAATCAATGATACGGAGTATCCATAGACCATTGAATTGAATTAATTGACATTCTTAGGTGGTATAGCGCATCTACTTGTTCTTTCTTATTTCATCAATAATTTACTAAACTAACACACAAAGTGCAAAGCATGCAGTGTACTGATCGAGTTGTGCCTTCGAGAAAAGTAGAAAGTAAATTTGACGTACCAACCAACTACCAAGTCGATCCGTTCACCCTGTCAATCAAGAAACCCACCAGGCCAACAAGTCTCAAATTTTTTTACTACAGGATCTTTGCAGAAGAGAACAATATATTTTCTATAGAAGACTGAATGCGATGTTTTCCAATACAACGTATCTAGATAGATTTCTTATTCAGATACATTGTACTAAAAAATATTACATTCGATTCGATTCTATGTTCTTGTGTTTGGGATGGAGGTAGTACTTTCAAAGACAATAAGTGTATGCATGGTTATTGGTAAAGAAGAAAGATCAGAATTAGCATGTGTAGAATTCTCCTTGCCCGTATATGCTATGTGAAACTATTTTCTTGCATGGTTGTTGGAGACAAAGACGAAAGGGACCAGTATAAACAGTCGCAAGAAGGAGTCAACTTCATCAAGATTTGATGGGGTCCATTTGTGAGAAAATGTTTTTCGACATTCAATTGAGACACGTAACATAGTTTTATGCCTTTTGGTGCAACTTTAAGTATTGTTAATTAGGAGAATATCAATTTTGGGCTTTCTTCTACTTACACTCCTATGATGTTTTCTACTTACTGTGCATACAATCTAGCTAGAGGCTAGTAAGATCATTTCAGCATGAACAATGGCGTGACGTCAGCACTGGGTGTCAATTAGGATTAATTTGTGATAATGTGAAGGCAAGATTAACAGAAGAGATCAATATTTTGTCTGTTGATTAACAAATGTTATAATATGCAGCTTCATACCATATATAGCGTCATATACTATCTATATACTTAAAATTAAATAATTGAATGTACAAATTTAATGTAAATAATTAATTAACTAAGCATACAATACGCTGTACAAGTTGTCTGTGTATCATCTGGCCGGTATGACATGAAAAGATTACATAGACGACTAATCTTTAAACCGTTATTCATGCATGCATGATCTTCCATGTGGAATTAATTATGGTTATTAATACAATGAGCTATACTTTACACGATTTCTCAAACAATATTTTAGTTAATTTGCTATTTTTAATTTATCATTACAAATATATACCCCTATCGTCCACAAATATATATAAGGGACTCCAGGTTGTTTAGAAGAGTTTAACGTTAAGGCAAAATTGCTTTGTTGCCCCTAGGACTTGATTGAGAAAAATCACATACCAGTGAGCAATAAATGCAGCATAGTTGGATGAATTGAAAAAGTAGTACTAAGAAATGTCTTATATTTGTAAACAGATTTTGAATTTAAAATCCTTTATATTTGTGAACAGAGAACACTAAAATTTAAAATAAAAGTATTGTATTTTTTATGTAATAATGTAGTCTATTCGGTTATTTTGTTTATGAAAGTAAAAATATGACTACACATCAAATTAACCAAAATTGGTTATTTCCAGTCGATTAATTTGTTTAAGTTGGTTTTTGCCCACTTAGATCATACGGTCAATGTCTTAGAATATCATACTTTACTACTTAATTAACATTCTGAAAATGTTTTTTTTTCGCATCAAGATCATATATATACACTATATTTCCCATAGTTTGTTTTGTCTAAATTTTTATATTTAATTAAAATATTGTTTTGAAACTAAGCCAACAATTTCTGGTACCAACTACAGTATGTCCATGACTTCCGAAATGGAGCTTAGCAACAAAGTACAAGCCAAGCGGCTGATGTTGGACTAATGCATTATTATCCTCGCTAGACTTTTGGCTCCACAGATTTTCCATAAATTGATTTCCTCCGTGATCTTGGATAGTCTCTTAGCCTCACACATGCTCCCTCCGTCCCGAAAAACAAATCTAGGACTGAATGCAACATATTCTAGTACAACGAATCTGGACAAATGTATGTCTAGATTCGTAGTACTAGGATGTGTCATATCCGGTACTAGGTTGGTTTTTTAAGGATGGAGGGAGTATCCTTGTTTTTGAATATTCTTCTCTTTCACTCTTTCCAAGCAATCTACACAAAACCATCACCACACACACATATATGCATCACAGACCTATTGATCTTCAAAGATATGAGTTTACAAAAAGAGGAATCAGGGTGATAAAACAAAGTATAGAAAGAAGTTTGGGAGTAGGACAATAAGGGACTGTCTACTCTACATTTGATAGAAAACCTTCAAATACATTGTAAATTTTAGACCGTTGGATCACTTTAAGATTTTTGCAAATCCCCCAAACCTTGTCCCTTCTCCTTTTTTCCCCCTCTTAGCTGCCGCACGACGCGCAAGAGCTCGACTTCCTGATGTCTCTTTGACGACACCGCTTGAGCTCGCCGGCTGGCCAGAAGGCCCCAACGATGCCTGCGAGCCCCCCCCCCCTCCCCCGCGCGCCCTCTATCTTCCTCATGAATGCGGCAGTGGTGTGGTGCCCTCATCCTCACCGTCTTCTCTGTCTCTAACAACTCCCCACCACCTAATCCGTCCCGGCTACAACCTCTTAATCACAACCTTGCTTTGCCCCCCCCCCCCCTCCACCACCCTCCTCCATCCCAAATGGCTTCGGCTCTGACTCCGGCGCCTTGCCGCCGTCCAACCCCGGGCCATCGCCTCCCACAAATATCACACTAAGCCTGACTCTCACTAGTCGAGTTCATCATCGTTGGTCGTCAGTGTTTATCAAGGTCGTTGGAGTTGGAGGAAAAGTCCATTTGAGTACAAATCATGAAGCGGATTTGAGGTTAGAAATTTGCAATATTGTATCTCTATTTTTCTGTTGGATGTTGTTTAGCAATTTCGAAAAAATATATATGACCGGTTGATGATGCATGAGTCAATGTGCAATATATCTTTCAAGGTACAGCGAGAGATTGTGAACCAAACAAGTAGTTTATATGGAATCTTGTGTTTCTGCTAGTTATGGCTCACGTGCCAAGCAATTTGAAGATCTGAACTTTCGTCTGATCTCTCTCACAAATACCTGTCAATAGCCATATAGTTGGATCAAAAATATATATGTCCAAAGACCCCACATATTTTTTTCTACTTTATTTTCTCTCCAATGTAAATCACGCAAGTGGATTGTGTTCGATTGGTCAATGGAGCAATCCGTGATTATATAATTGCGATCTTGGTTGATGGATTTTTCCATGGATGAAAAAGAAAAGACAAGCTATATAAGAAATGTCGCCATGGTAGGTAGGAAACCTGTCAGTGTGTTCAAGGACTAAATCTATTATTATCGTTCCCACGTGTGGCTAGAGATAAGTCAGGTAATTAAGCAGCAAACTAGTCATTTTTAGAAAGCCCGTTATGACCAACAATTGATAAA